TTACAGCTTGTGGAAAAATGGGGTGGTGGAACATATTGCTTCCCTATCACTATTGTTGGTTTCTACAGTAACCATATAAAACAGCCTATCAGGTGTTAAGATGCTTTGAAGTTTAACAATGTAAGTGAAAAGCACTTGGAGCATGTATTTGTATTATGTTAAATGCTGCAATCTAAACATATGGAAATAAGAAACACCTAAAACTTCAGCTTATATAATATTGTTTTCAATACAAACGCAGCATACCATACTGGATTGTATATTGTGATAAAAAAAATAAAGACATTGAGAGAAATGAGATCATCTAAAAAAACACATTCATTGGTATTCATTACTCAAGAGAAAAAAAGCTATAATTCTACCACTTTACAAGACTCTGGATCTGCCACATCTGGAGTCTGCTGTCTAGTTCTGGTTACCAGACCTCAGAAAGGGTGTGCTGGAACTGGAGAGAGTCCAGAGAAGGACAACAAAGCTAATAAGGGGATTGGATGACTTCATTTAAAAGGAATGGCTACAAGAATTAAACCTATTCTCCCCACAAAAGAGATGCTTGAAAGGAGATATGATAGCGATATACAAATACTTCAATGGTGATTATAGCATAGGGAGGAAACTATTCATTTTCAGGGAGAGTATGAAGAAACTCAGCCATTCGCTGAAATTGGAGGATAAGCAATTCAACCCTAAACTGCGTAGGGTGTTCTTTACTGTTCAAGTGATAAGGATGTGGAACTCCCTCCCACAATCAGTGGTGTCAGCGGGAAGTGTCGATAGTTTAAAAAACTCTTAGATGGGCATCTTATGAACGCAATATACAAGCATTTTGTCACAGCACCTCACTGTATGGGCCTATTCCTGGCCTTCATATCGGTTCCTACAGTGCCCTGGGCTCTCTCACACTTCCTGAAAACCTCTAGGGTTCCTCCAGCCCCCCTGAACTCGCTAGTCAGCTTTCCCAGTCTCTCTGGAACCTTGTAGCTGTCCTGACTCTCCAAGTCCTGTGGGCAAGAAGTCCTTCCCACATAGGGTTTCGATTCCCAATTAGATCACCCCTCCTGACTGGAGCAAACCACTATGTTCACACAAAGGCTGTGTCTCTGAATGGCAGAAATTTCCCTGAGCTCTCATCAGACCTGGCTTATAACAACCCTGCCCTGTACTTATCCAGGCTGCAGGCATCTGTGAGATGAGAAAACAGCTCTCATTGTTTGAACACTGTTTGTGTGGAAGTAAATTATTGTGTGGAGTAAATTAAATGTTTTGATTGACAGTCTGCAGTTTAGCCACAAGATGTCATTGTTTTTCTAACACAGCCTCAGACTGCATAGATACTTGTATATTCATGAAGAGGTGGGGTTTTCACACAGAGTGGAGAAAGAACAGGAAGGAGAGGGAGAAGCCATGTTTTGGAGCATTGTGAATAAGGGGCCCTGTGAGCAGAGAATCTGATGACATCCAGGTGTGAAAGCATCTCTCAGTAACCAGAGCTGCAGCTAAGTGAAGCTGATTGTGTCCAAGACCCTGATCCTGTTCAGAGAAAGGAAGATTGCTGCCAGGAATGCTGATGAGAGCAGAGGAACTAAGCAGCATATACTGCGATACCGCATGCTTGTTGGAGAGACAAGTCACCAGCGGATGCAAAGCAGACCCGGGTCGGTAAGATCGTGCACGCACCTCATTTCAGTGTTGGTGCCTAAAGACTGAGGCCAGATAGTTAGTTAGGGTCTCTGTTTGTGTCAGGCCACAAGTGTTGTTACTGATTATTGGAAGGACTCCACAACTTAAAGTGACATTTCACATTGGAGAGCTGATAAAATCCCACAAACACAAGCCAGACTGGCGTTTTGCTCAGAAGGAATACTCAGGAACTTGCTACAGGACCAGTTATGGGAGGGGGAATACTGTAGATTTGTGTAAGAATGTAAGCTGTTGTGCTGCACCGCAGGCTAGCCCATACCATACACTGATTCTTGCTCTTTTAGGGTAAATAACAGGTAAGGTGTAGTAGCTTAGTTGTGCCCGCCAGTAGGTAAATTACTTCACTTTCTACCTTCATCCATCAGAAGGCGCCGTGCTGTACAGCACAAGGGTCTCAGCCTTTGGGCTGGGTGTATGTAAATTTATTGTATGTTTCCAGCATTTGTGGTTGTGTTTATTTGCCACATCTAAGTAAAATTCTGTTGTGGCAAAATCTAGTGTTGAGGTTGCTTTCCTCGTTGGTGACTTCACTCTATCCTGGGGAGCCCACCCTGGTACACGGCTTACACATCCAGTACACGATTGAAGGTTCCATCTGACCCAAGACACCTTTGAACCTTCAAACTCCAGGCCCTGATCTGCTCCTACCGAATCAGGAGGAAACTTAAATTAGCTTTCTCTGCTTACAATAAACATGCTAGAGCCTCTCAAATAGAAACTTTGAGAATCCAGGGTCATCTTTACATCCTTAGTCTAATCTCACACTGTTGCAGGGCCTTGCACTGCCACACATTGGTGACAGAAACAAGACAGGACCAGAAGAGCCCGGCTAGAAGGACTAGCCGATCTAAAACCGCGATGTCACGTGCATAACAATGCCACACCCAGCTGCACCCTGCACAACGATTTTCCAGCTAATTGGACCACAATCGATGTACCAGCAGCCTGAGCGATTGTTACTGGGTCAGGTTAATTACGCAATTAAGCCTTCACACTGCCACCACCCTCTTTTTGTACAGAGAGAGAGGAAACTCTGCGATATCCGCAATAACACTATAATGGTTGAGGTAATCGTCTGTATAACACGTTTATACAGAGGGTTAAACAAACACAGTAGCGTTCTCTTTAGAGGCAGGAATTCGTAAATTGCAATACAGAGCTATAGAAACAGTTCAACAGTTTCAGAAGAAAAGATTTAATACTAAAAGGTCAAACGGGTGCAATAAAAATATTTACAGAAAAAGATGTAACTAAGATATATATATAAATATACAGAGAACAACAGCACAGCAAAGAGATATCAGAGAGAGGTGAAAGGGTTAAGGTACTTGCCAAAGTCCTGGGTTAGCAGATCCAAGTTTCAGAGCGAAAGGGCACGGGTCTCCCCAGGTGGTACTGATGTTAAAATGGGAGACGTCTTCAACTTACTCTGCTTAGGCCTGACAGCCTATTTTGTAGTTCCCCAGCTGGGGGTGTCTCTGAAGTCATACCTTGTTTAGGGGCGTGTAGGTATGGGCAGTTACCTCAACTAGAGCCAAAATCTCCCATAACTCATATTTTGGCCCATAACTTTCCATCTGCACAAGTGACATTCCACCCGCGAGTAGATTATTAGGCAGACACGTGTGAGGATTGATTAGATATGAATTATGAAATTATACACTGAACGGTTCACAAGATCTATTTTTTGGCTTTCCTATGTATTTGAGACAATGCGAGTGACCTACCAAACTGTTCGCCTTCTCGTGGCCAATCTGACGATATGTCCGGTTTTTATGTAAGTCTCTCATATTCGAAGATATGAGACATAGGGTAAAAATGGATTTTAACAAAGGTTATCTGGTCGTGTTTCCTGGGAATGTTCTTTGAACTCTGGGGAAAGCTTGCCTTATCTTATACGAGGTGTTAAATTGCACAGGTTCTTTGGACAGCCAGGCCCTGGCTCAGAGAGGTGTTTTATAGCTCTTGGCTCCCTGCTGGCTCCAGCCTGCCAGTGACCCACAACCAGATGTCACTGTGGCTGAACAGAGAGGAAGGGGGAGAATGAGGAGGGGGAACATGGCGAACTCTTAACCAAAATGGAGGCCTGCGTCAGTCTCTGGGTATACGCTGTTACACTGCCCATCTCCTATTCTGAATAGCACAGTGGGGCAGGGTTCTGTATTCCTCAAAGATAACTGAGAAAAATGCAACTGGATAGAATGCAGTACAGACAGAGAGCATAGAATGTTAACAGTTCACAATATTTCTGACAAAATCCATCCTTTGGAAATCTTGCTAATTCTTGAGCTGCATCAAATGTTATACAACAACAAAAATATTATTCATACACAATTGGTGTTGTACCTGTATCTCATATTATACTTGTTCCTGGGCAATTTGCTTGAAGAATTATTTAGTAGAGATGAGGTTTGGATGCACCATCCATAGATCCGTGCAAAGTCCTGCAGGTTTGAAATTTATGTACAGGATTACCCTGGGGAATTTTTTTCATCCATAACGCACTGCAGGGTCTTTCAACCATGGCCAGTAGGCTTAGCAGAGACAGTAAGGGAGCTTTGGAAAAGCCAGATCCTTCACTATAAAAGAAGGTGCTCGGATCAGCCATGCCGTCATTTTATTGAAAACTGTTGTAAGGAAAGCACAGGTAAAGCTGGCAAACTGCATAGGAAGAGATTATGATCAGTTTACAAACTGTGCTTTATTTTTCTGAATGTCATTTGTGGGTGTCTTCTCCCCCCTCACTCTTATTAACCACTTGCTTACCGGGCACTTATACCCCCTTCCTGCCCAGGCCAATTTTCAGCTTTCAGCACTGTTGCACTTTGAATGACAACTGCGCAGTCATGCAACACTGTACCCATATTACATTTTTATCATTTTTTTCACACAAATAGAGCTTTCTTTTGGTGGCATTTACCTGCTGGGTTTTTTTATTTTTTATGCTATAAACAAAAAAGAGCAAAAAAAAAAGTTTTTCTTTGTTTCTATTATAAAATTTTGCAAACAGGTAATTTTTCTCCTTCACTGATGTGCGTTGATGAGGCTGCACTGATAGGCAACACTGATGGGCACTGATAAGCAGTACTGATGGGCACTGATAGGCAGCACTGATCAGGTGGTACTGATAGACGGCACTGATGAGCTGGCACTGATATGCAACAATGATGGGCACTGATAGATGGCACTGATGGGCACTGATAGGCAGCACTGATAAGCGGCACTGATAGGAAACAATGATGGGCACTGATAGGCGGCACTGATGGGTGGCACTGACTGACAGCATTGACTGGTGGCACTGCTGGGCACTGATGGGTGGCACTGCTGGGTAGCACTGATGAGTGGCACTGCTATGCAGAACTGTTGGGCGGCACTGATGGGTGGCACTGATGGGCACAGGTGGGTGGCATTGCTGTGCACTGATGGGCACAGGTGGGTGGCACTGCTGGGCACTTGTGGGCGGCACTGGTGGGTGGCACTGCTGGGCACTGATCATCAGGGCACTGATCATCAGTGCCCTGATGATCGGTGCCAATCTCTCCTCTGACAATTGCCGGTTATCAGCAGTGATTTCCTCATGCTGTGACAGCGTGAGGAAAGTGCAGCCGAGAACCGGCAACTGCATTTTCCGCTGATCTGCTGTGTCATTGGACACAACTGATCATGTGGTAAAAGGCCGCTGTGATTGGCCTTTTACCACATCACGTGATCAGCTGTGTCATAGGACACAGAGATCACAGAGATCGCCGGGGGCACACCCAGGGAAGGCGTGTTCTGGGAGGACGTTATATGACGTCCCTCCCAGAACTGGCCGACAGCAGTGTAGCCGTCATTTGGCTATCTGCTGTTGGCAAGTGGTTGTCCTTCCCATATGGAAGAAAAATATACTTGAAATATATTTTAAAAATATTCTTCCCAAATATGTTGACATATATTTGAAATGCTACAATTTTGTCCATATTCAATATAGTTCAAAATAGATTTCAATAAATATGTGTGTATATATATATATATATATATATATATATATATATATATATATATATATATACTGTGTATTTTTAATGTGTTTTTATTGCAAAATGTATTAAACATAGTTTTTTCAAGTGCATTTAAAATATACTGTATGTCTTTAAAAATACAAATCTGCATTTTTGGAATGCATTTACAAATATATGTAAAAAAAATATGTTAAAATAACTTTTTTATATGTTAAAAAAATCTGAAGAGTATATATATATATATATATATATATATATATATATATATATATTTTTTTTTTTTTTTTTTAATTTATTCTTCATATTTTTTTTAACATATAAAAAAGTAATTTTTAACATATATTTTTACATATATTTGTAAATGCATTCCAAAAATGTAGATTTGTATTTTTTAAGACATACAGTATATATGAAATTTATTTTTAAAAATATTTTTCATATAGTTTGTAATAAAAATGCATTTCAACATACAGTATATATATATATATATGTTTTTTTTTTTTTTTTTTTTTTTTTATATTGAATGTAAGTAAACCGTCTGTAGCTCTGCCAAATATATGTCAATATATTTCTTGCTGCTTCCCAAATTTAGCTACACTTTCTTACCATGTAGCACTGCATAGGGAGTCCCTGCAGACTTAAACCTAGCAACATGTCCTTCGCTCCCGCGATGTGTCCTCTGCAGCGTCCCCCGGCCATCTCCTCCGGCTGATGCCGGCTATTTTTTCCGCCCTGTAGTTCCGGTCCCTGTGACGTCGGAACGTTACGGGCGGCGGCAGCGGCGGGAAATTTGAAATTTTTTTAAAATTGTCATTTTTTTCCAAAACGATTTTACATAGTTTTGCTGTTTCAACCCATTTCACATACATTGCAATTTTATTTGTCCCTAGTGCTTTGTCCTGTCCATTACTGTCTGCATTGTGATTGTTCTTTCTGCCTGGAAACTTAGAAAAGTCCATGGTGTCCAAAAAGTGTCCCTTTAGGTCAAAAGCAGGTTTCTAATTTCAGCTAGAGAACAGCGATAGTAAATCAGAACCACTTGCAGAATTGAGTAATAATGATTCGTGGGGAAATTCGTCATCAGACACTGCCAAAAACAATTTTGCGAGTCTTTGCTCAGCGATGTCCCTTGCGAACTTGGCGCTATATTTCAAATTTCAGTGTCTTTTGGTTTGATTATATTATTGAATTAAATGTATTATTATTATATTATTATTTTTTATTAAATTATAATTTATGATTTTGTGTTTCAAATTTTATCATACCCGGGATGTTTAATAGACTCTTGTTCAGAGAGATTTCAGTGAGTTATTCCTAAAAAATTACAGCCTACAATAAAAAAACTACATATTTCCATGCAAAATAATGGTACCGCTTTCAGCACCAAAAATCTGAAATAACATACCGCCAGGGAGGTTAATACATTGAATATGGGTAGATTCACACATCCATATTATTGCACTGACCTCTTTCAGGTTACCATTGGGAGAGTCATCATCCTTTATATCTAAAACATGTTCATAAGGTAATCTTTTCCCTGCCAAAGCCACCTTAAACAAACAAGTCTTTATAGATTTAGCATTTCAGTGTACAATAAATCAAAAGAGTTGAATTACGACTATCAAGAATTTTACTTTAGAGTGGCAGTGAAATTATTAATGTGGAGTGAGGCAGGAATCAAAGACCCCGGATTTGCTGTAGTACTGTCAGTCTATCTTTCTTCCTTACCATTCCAGCATACATAAATTGCAAAGACTCATTTTTATACCCCTTAAAATAAGATCATTGTGTACTTTTATTTTTTTCAGAGATTAAAATTCAGAAACTCATCTAAATTTTTAAAATCATATGTCAAGTAAACTCTATGTACTCTGACTGTGTAATGCAATAGATAAATATTACCAGCCATATCCTATTTTGTAGACATTTTCTAACATATATAAATAAAAAGAGTTCATTTAATCTCAGAGCAGTTTATAAGGAAGAACAACACCCATTTGGAGGATTTACTAAATTTATTTTAAGAGTAAATCTTTTTTCCTTTTTCCACTTTTGGATAGAGTGTCAAGGATTATAACCTGTCTTTTTTTCTCTTTCTGTTGTCTGTAACCTTGCTGGGAGATTCACGCCCCTCTCCATTTGCCCTGATGACCATTGCCTCTGAGACCCAAAGTGAGAGAAAATCCAAAATTTTGACCTGCCACCAGAGCATGGAGAAATCATCCATCAGCATAATGCTTACTTTTGTTCAGTCTATAAAGTATAGTACTGTAAGCGCCCAACATCCGATGCTAAAACTATAGTTTGGCTGTATTGTAGCTCCAATAGTGAGTTTGCTCAGTCTCCACCTCACCCATTCAAAGTATATTACAGTATGTAACTTTTCACTGAATAAGGCATTCTGTGATTGGACAAGAGGAGATTGTGGCATTTATTTTTACATCCTCCATTCCCAGCAAGCATCGTATTAAGTTTGTTGCCTACTGTATTGTACTGGCTTAATAAAAGTAGGTTTTCCTGAACTATTGATTGCAGCAGCAGCCCACATGGGACATGCATCAATGCAGATAGATTTCAGTATATTAACAAATCATAGCAACATAACAAATGTAAAAAACTGTTTTGTTCCCGAGTTCAGCTTTAAGGCAATTCAAAGAGCTAAAAAAACTAAATTGGCCACCTTTTAAATCACAATATCAGATCAGAGGGAAAGATTAAATCATATTAAATAACAGTTGATACCAAAGGTAGATCTTGAATTACTTTTTTTAATAAAATACTGTGCATGCCTTCCTTACTAACCTTTTGCATCTCAGTGCTGCTGATCTCCACCAGTCTTTCTCAAACAATTCCTCTCTAAACACACTCGGTCCAGTGTCCACTCACTCAAGTGTCCTTGAGACTATGACAACAGCTGACCATGCCTGCAGTTTATGTCAGATGTCAGGACCTAGATTACCTGCTGGTGGTACTGTGCTTCCCAGAAGTTGCAGTTCCAGAGTCCACCAGCAGGTGTCTACCAGCTGCCAGAAAATTCCAGTAATCAGTTTGCACCTTATGCTGGCTGCTGGGCAAGTGATTAGGTCCTCCTTTGCTATTATACTCAGAAATCAGTGTTTTGCTTTGTTGTACGAAGTCAGATGCTGCTGCCATTTATCCTGCACCTGATCTTGCTTTTGCCCTGCATCATTCACCCTACTGTTATATCCGCTCCCCTTGTTCCTGATCCCAGTCCTGGTTTTTCCCCCTTCCTTGCATCTCCAGTAGTCTCTGTGACCTGTGCTCCTAATCTTCTATGCATTGTATTGTTATTGTATATAGTTAAGCTTCCTGGCACTTGTTAGGCATTTTGCGTTGTATGGTTGTAGGTTGCTTTTATTTTTATGTTCGCTGTTTGCTGGTATGTGGATGTCTTTTGTTTTACTATTACTAAATTCACTTTACTATATATAGTCTGGTCCCAGTTTCTAAGTGTAGCCACACAAATCCGACTATCCTTGTTGTTGATTCCTAACATCAGTACAGCAATCTGTATTCTACATATACAACCTTTTTGTGAATTATAAAATAAAATAAACAAATAAATTGATTTTAAAACATATAATATGCAACAAAGTCCCACTAATCCAAAAAAAAGATTTCAAAAAAGAAAGTCCAAAATAGTGTCCACAAATATCCCAAATTTATTCACTCTTTTCATCCACTGAAAGGATTGGCTCCTACTTCATCCAAAACGTACCTCAAAGTAAAAATATAATCCTATCTAGTGCATTACCTTAATGATAATAATAATAACAATAATCACCCCGTGCAACCCAAAATACACTTCAAAAAACCTTTTGTGCAAAGAGAAAAAAAAATATATATATATTTTCTTATAGTGCATATAATCACACTAATCAAACTATGAGCACTCTGTGGTCACTGCAATTCAGTGTCTGCCAACAAACCAACACACAGTAGTACTAAATACTATTACCCTCTATGAGTATTTGAAATGCTCAAACAATTATATGGAAAAGTATTCCTCCACATTATCTTCCAAAAAGTTTTTCCAAGGTCCTCAGAGAGATAAGAAGGGTCTCAGGCAAATAGTATTCAAAGCATATGGGGATAACTTTTTATTCATCACTTACATTAAAATTTGAAAATATCAGCTAAACAGAAATGGTTTCAAGCTTTTTCAACCAAACACCATGAAAAAACCACTGTGTTGAAAACCAACAAAATGGATTTTTTCTACGTACGTGCGTCTTGACGTCACTCCTCTAACGCGTTTCGTCACTTCCGGACTTTCATCTGAAGGGATCCCTTCAGACGAAGTCCGGAAGTGCGAAACGCGAAATTTAGAGCATTTCAAATACTCATAGAGGGTAATAGTATTTAGTAATACTGTGTTTGGTTGTTGGCAGACACTGAATTGCAGTGACCACAGAGTGCTCACAGTTTGATTAGTGTGATTTATGCACTATAAGAAAATAATAATTTTTTTTTTTTTTTCTTTGCACAGTAGAAAAAGTGTTTTTTGAAGTGTATTTTGGTTGCACGGGGTGATTATTGTTATTATTATTATCATTAAGGTAATGCACTAGATATTATTATATTTTTACTTCGAGTACATTTTGGATGAAGTAGGAGCCAATCCTTTCAGTGGATGAAAAGAGTGAATAAAATTTGGGATATTTGTGGACACTATTTTGGACTTTCTTTTTGGACAATTTT